ACCCCAAAAAACCCTATAAAGGCACTAAAAATATCAGCAGTTGGCAGGGATTACAGAGTAATCGGTCTAGTATAGAGAATTGTTAGGGAAGCAAAACTATTCTGCAAAATTTCCAAACAGTGAAATGTAAAGTCATAAATTCACAGCTTGATACGTTTCTGTCTGTACACACTATTTTACCATTCCACTTTCATCAAGGCCAAAAATTCTCATAATTTATTCCACTTGTCATGATTGAATTGTACACCTCCTCCCTGAATTCATTTATTGAAGACATCCGAGTGTCTCAGGTCCTTATCTGAGAATAGAGTCTCTATCGACAGGTTCCATGAGGTCACTGAGGTGGATTCTGATCCAATACAACTGTTGTTCTCATAAAAAGAGGAAATTTGGAAACAGACATGTACACAGAGAAATACCATAGGACAGCAGAGATCTGGACGAAGCTCCTACAAGCCACAGACTGCCACAGGTTGCCAGCATAATGAAACATCCTTTCTCATACAACTCACATTGGGAACCAATCCTGTTAGAACCTTGATCTTGAACTTCTAAGTCTCCAGAGGCATTAGCCAATACATTTTTGTTATTCAAGTCAGATATTGTTTTGGTATTTTGTTATGTACAGTGGTTGTAGCAAATTAATACACTGGTCAACACCTCTCTGCAAAGGTAATCCAACACTCTGACTTTTCTGTCACTATGGATTAGTTTTCCCTGTTCTTTCACTCCAAATTTACAGAGTATTACAGTCTATAACTTTTGTGCTTGGTTTCTTTTGTTCCATGTACTACTTCTGGGACTCATTTGTGTTATATGTATCATTATTTCGTTTTCCTCTTTATTGCTTTGTAATGTTTCATGGTGTACGTATTTTGCAATTATTTACCAATTTTCCCATTAATGGACAGTTTGGAGAGTTCTCAGTGGCCACTCTCTGCTCAGACTCTGGGCTCATGTTGCTTTTAAATTTCCAAATGCCTCAGAGGGAAGAGAGTAGCATGTTGGGCTTCATTAATGAGTAGGGTTTTCTTTCCAAGAGGTCTTGATGCTTCCAGGTCCTGGATCCCTGTCGCTTTCCAATGTCTTTCAAGCTGAGTTTTAAACATGCTTCATTTATAGTTGTGCTTTGTGGGGAGATTAGTCTGTTGCCCCCTGCTCCATAGCTAGAGCTGAAACCATATCATTAATCCCTTAGGTATGCTCCCATTGGTGGACTCTGCTCTGTGCCAGTCACCATACGCGTATTAGTGGGTTTTCTGCTCTGTGACAAACTACCTGAGGGAACTGACTTAAAGGAGGAAAGACTAGTTTGGTTCATGGTTTCAGCGATTTCGGATCCTGGACAACTGACTCCATTGCTTTTAGGTCTATGGTGAGGCAGAATCAATGGTGGGCTGACACGGCAGAGGAAGGGAGAGAGAGAGGAAAAGGGTGGAAGAGAGAGAGAGAGAATATATATGAATGAAAATGAATATCAGAGAGGACAGGGAACGAAACACACCCTTCCAAATCATGCCACCACTAACCTGCCTTATCTCATTAGGCCCCATCTCCTAGTAAGTCCATTTAGTTAATGAACTCATCAGTGATCTAATTCACTTAATAAAGTGGAGCCTTCCTGATCTAATCACTTCCCAAAGCCCATCAACTGCCACCCAAACCTTCAACACAATGAGTCTTGTGAGGGACGTTTTGGATTCCAATCATAATAATACCCCAGCGTTTTAGTGCTCTCTTTTTTGTGAATACTCACAATAGTCTTTTGGAATAGATGTTCTTGCAGTCCCTCTTTAAAAATAGAAAGTCTGAGGCTCTAAGAGGTGAAAAGATTCACCCAGGATGAAGGGAGATCCTAACACAGAACTTGAATCAGATGTGACTGACATCAACACTTACAGTCTCGACCTTTAACTGCTAGGCAAACGGCCTCTCTAGCTTGAGGTCCAGCATTGGCTCTCAGGCCTTTCTCCTCAGGAAGTCCTCCCAGAACATGGCCAGAGACTCTCCCATCACCAACCCTCTGCGGTTCACAACTCTTTGAACAACCAACTAATGTTAGGATGCAGTGAGGCAAATCAGGAAGACACCTTTAGCCTGTTAGGGGTGGCCTGGCCTGCACCCTTCTAAGAGGTCCCAGGAGGCCCAGGACTAATGGCAGAGAGAGAAAGGATTATACTGTTGATTCATTCTGGGGCCTGGGGCCTGACACTGCTTCTCCTAGCACCTTGATGATCCCCTACATAAAACAGGTTCATGTCTTTTGTCACCTTGGCAGGGTGGCAGATAAGGGAGGCAACCTGAACACTGGTAGTATGAGGGACTGATGCTGTAACCATGTCCAGTCACAGCTCATAGTGCTGAGCGAGTGTCCACCTCGACCTCTGCCAGCCAGCCCACAGCCCAGCAGAGCCAGAGGAGGGGTGCGTGAGATGGCTTCAGCATGCTCTGCAAGAAAGGCTGCCTCCCGGAAGGGGCCCTTCACTCCCTTCCCTGTGCCTCCTCTTTCCTGAGACACTCAATCCAGGCATTGCACCAGTGACCACAGCATCCTAGACCAGTCCTAGTTCAGCCAAAAGGCACTCTTCAGAGTGCCCATACCCCTGCCAGTAGCCCCCTGCCCACCGAGCCTCCTTTCTAACCCCCAGGCCTGCTTTTGCCCCACTGGACAGTCAAAGCCAGGGGAAGTTTGCCACTTCCCTGGGTGGAGTAGTGGCAGCACTGTGACCCGGGGAGAACCCCACCCATCAGGACCTCCTTCTAGACAGGACCCCAAGCTGGGGTTTCTCAGTTCTCAGGGTAGCACTTCTGAAATGGAAAATTACACTTCCATTTTCTTTCTGAAAAAGGAAAAAGGAAGAAAGAAACAAAACCAAAGTGACTTCTGTCACTTCATGTCCCTGAGCTGAGGCCACAAAAGGCCTTCCTGGCTTTGCCCCACCCCAGCCCACTTCCTTGAGAGAGCTCACAGCTGCAGGGCTAGTGCCAGACGTGCCCCTGGCAGCCAGGTAGGTGAAGTCAGATGGCCTGCAGCACACAGGGAAGCCAGCAGGGGACTTCTTCCAGACACTCCTGAGTGTCTTTTCTTATTTCAGTGAGAGGCAGGATCATGAGAGTGGGTTTGTTTTCCCAGATAAATTGGGATCCAAGAGATAAGAGAAAGCCTCTTCTGGGACTTCTGTCCAGTGGGCGATTTTTGTCAACTCTAAATGGCTCAACAGAGCAGGGTAAGATCACACACAGAGCAGCCACGAATGCTTTCTGATGGGTTCCATCGGGATCCCTGAGCCACAGTGTTGGTTTCTAGGAGGGAATACTGAGTTCCCACCCAGGCCCAAGGGCACAGAGGCCCAGCCCAGTTGTCCTGGGCTCAGCCCATATCCCTATCTCAGGGAGAGGCTTTCTGCAAGCAGGGCAAAAGGGGAATGTGGCAGGGACACATATGCATCTATATACCAGGAGGAAGGGGCATCCAAGCAGGCCTAGACTGCACTGTAAGACCAGGAGGTCCCCCTTAACCAACAGGAGAGCAGAGACATGAGGACTAGGGGTGACACTGACATTGTGTCTCCTGGTATTGACTCTTATCCCATGCATGGCCTTTAAGGACCAGGCTACATTAGTGGTCTATCAATATTTATTAAACCATTATGTGAGCTTCTCCTCATTCATCCAACTGGGCAATATGTCCTCAGATACTTGCTGTGGCAAGCGCTGTCTATACTGAGAGATGCCTATGGCAAGCCCCAGGGAGACAAGAGAGGTGCACAGGGAAGACAAGACAAAGGCCTACAGAACTCTGGCGTGAAACGCAAATACAGGGGAAGGAGTGGTAGTGTTGGTGAGGCAGGCTCTCTTTTCTAAAGATGTCAGAGACAGAGACAGTGGTCACCTTCATGGAGAGAAAGTCTCATAGAAGTGGTAACAACCAGATCTTGAAAGATGAGCAATATTTGAACACAGAGTTTGGGGTAGAAAACGTGTCCTTAGAGAAAATAATACAGACAAAAACCCGGAGCTAGGAAAATGCATTACTCACCCAACAGTACTCGGCCCTTGGTTCCTATGGAAGGGACAGCAGGTCCTGGTTTGTGAAAGTGACAGCGAGTTTGTGTCCCTCAAATCCATGTGGGAACAAAGCTGAGCATTGGAAATGGTCTCCCAGGTGTGCTGATGAGACTCCAAAGGACAAATTCCTGGAGATAGAGTTGTGGGACAAATGATATGAACTCTTCCCACTGTGACAGATAATACCATTGACCTCCACAGAGCCCCTTTGGGTGTTTTAGTGAGCTGTCCCTTGGCACGGTCCACCTTATGCATCAGTATCTGTTTTCTGCCTGATGGTAAAGACAGGATGCTTGCTCCCTTCCCAAGGGAACACACTGACACTGGGTCTGGCCCGAGGAAACGCTTAGAAGATGCTCACTGTTTTTATTCTGCCATGAGGTCTTCAGTAGCCTTTCTGATGCTCAGGAGCAGAGCCACCCTTTCTTGTGTCCCACTACACCTGCAGAGATAGAAGCTACTCCTCTCCACAAGGGGTGCTCCTGGGAGTGCTTGATTTCACCTCCTTTCTATAGCAGTTGATTTGGCTCCAAACTCTAAGGAAGAGACAGCAAGAATTTGTTCTGTGACTGTCAGATGCAAGGAAGGTGTAGCCTGTATTTCTGCCCTTCCCTTCTAATGAAGCAAGGCCAGTCATCCCCAAATTATCAACAGACAACCAAAACCCCATCCTGCAAACTGGTATACTTTACCCCTTTCATAGAAGGGTGGGTAAACCTATATGACAGGCAAATAAAATGTCAAGAGGAGAGTGGCTGTCCCACTCTCAGAAAATCTAGAGGTAAAACAAACCTTGGGTAAAATTACTGTATCTATGGATGCACGATTCTGATTGGATAGATGTGGCCGAGGTATCTAGGGAGAAGATCAGGCTATTCAGGCTCAGGAAGCCAGAGGTATGTCTGTGTTCTATCTTTTCCAGGTCCTTGACTATGGAGAGGACACTTGCAGTCCTGCAGGGAGCCTGTACCACCCCACTCTGGGCTCAGCTGCTTTCACCAATGTCCCACTGCAGTGGCAGCATGATACCAGCCCACTGCTGGTTGGATGAGGGCAGGATGCCCACTCCAGCTGCTGCTGCCCCAGCTGTCCCCTCCCACCAACACCTGTGCCTGGAGCCCTACCTGGAGAATGGCAGCACTGTATTGACCTTCTGTCTCAAGGTGCTAAGCCACAAAAGTTTTGTATGGGTCAACGGGCTGCCTCTGAGGTACCTAGAACAAGTACCTCTGAGCATTGTCAGCAGAGTCTTCTTCTGTGATGTGTGGTCCACACGGAGGGAGGCAACTCCCTGAAGGACTTTGTTTGCTGCTTCCATCTCAATCCTTCACCCCAATTTACCAACCCAGGGCGAGGGAGTAATGAGCGGGAAGACATCTACAGGAACACCCTCCTCCATGTTCAGGGATTCTCCCTGCTGGTCACCCACAGCTTCACCACAGTCCTTCCCAAACTCAGCACAACCTTCTTCAGCCAAGCCCTGGAGAAGGAACAGAGGTACAGCTCTAGAGGGAGGCCCCACACACTATACTCGGCTAGCTCTGGCACTGAGAACAAACCTCACTGAACAAGGGCTTGAAATATTTGAGCTACATCATGGGAGGCTGACATGCAAACTTGACATTCAAGGTCGGCTGCCTGCCTGGCTCGTAATGAACCAATTCTGCATCACCTAACAGCCCCAGGGGTGGGGAAGTACCCTCCATGGCCAGAGGTAATGAGAACTTCATATACTTTTTAGAGGCCCTGAAGGGTTTGGGGAAACCTCTCCCAGCATTACCCCACATGGCCCCCCTTCTTTGACTAGGAGTTACTTTATGTTGTTCATTTCAAGGGCTGCTTAAGAGCCAGAGTTTGAGGTTGCAGGAGGAATGCTTGGACACATGTAGCAATTACATTTGTGGTAGCTCAGGGTTACCTTCAGCTTTCAAATACCCACAGGCACTTGGGGCTTAGGGAAGCCTGTGTTTAATAAACTGCAAGTATTTCATTAAGCTGGCATACCCAATAGGGTTCCCTGAGCCCCAGACAGACCACATGCATGCCACGTTGTCATGCAGAGGCAGTGGCAGGAAACCGAGAAGTGTAGGAGGAAATTGGATAGGTAGGGCTCACATTTCGGGAGAGGACAGCTGCTGAGCTCAGGGCTTCCAGGATGGGAGCTGGGAGCTGGGCCTACCTGCAGATTCTCTGTCACTGTCCTTCTCTTCATCCTCTCACCCTCCGGTTCTCTGCCACTACTGGAGTAAAACCTTGGCTGCCCTAAGAGCAAGGTCTTCAAAGAAAAGGTGTTCCTAGAGCAATGGGCTCTTTCAGGACTTACCCTGTGAGGCTTAGTTAGAGTTCAGCCCAGTAACTACTTCACTTGGGGTGGATCATATTCCAGTGATGGAGAGGGGATTTCCACAAAAGAGGATTTACAGAGAACCAAGCAAGCAGGTCAATGGTGGGGGGATTTTCTCAGTGAATGGGAGAGCACAGTGCTGGTGGCTTCTTTCCATGCCATCCTGCCAGAGGAGAGCATGACTTAGAAATAGTCCTCACTGTGTGGTGGAGGGAGGAATCTACAAACTCAGTCACCATGAACCCAGACCCCTGATCAGCCACAGCACTGAGGGCCACTTGATGACTTACATCCCTGGGGTCTTTAACCACGGCTAGTACTTGCCATCCCCCACTGAAGAAGACACCAACAAGGTCTACAGGAGCTTGGAATCCACTCCTGGCCCATGTCTTATCCCCATGGGGCAGATGGCACTGGACAAGATTCAGCTATGTCCCTACTTGGGAAGCTTCCCCACCAACGGGAAATAAGCCAAGCACACCAGATAACAGCCACCAGGCAGGAGAGAACAAGAGCTGCCAGGGAGGAGATGGCCAGGGCTGTGAAGGGCTCCCTGGGGACTCCCAAAGCAGTCCTTTATTCATTCAGCAAATTTTCACCATGCATAAAGCCCCAGGCTGATAAAGTCTCTACCTTTGGGTAGCCTCAAGAAAGATGAGCATTCAGGAGCTCATGACATAATTACAGTGGCACCTCCTCAGGAACTTAATTTGTTTTATGATTTTGGGGAAGATGGCTGATTTGTGTTTGTCACCTGATGCGGAGTTTACAAACAGAAGTAAAATTTTGCTGAATACTTTTGTTAGGAACCGAATCTTTGCAAGCAGAGTGTTGTAAACTGAGATATTACTGCATAGTATTTGATTACCATTGTGAATGATGCTACAGGCATTAGACTTTCCTTCCTCTAACAGTTTAACAGTTCTGTTCTTAGGCAGCCTTGTTTATTGACACTCACCAGGTGCTCAGGACTCTGCGAGGTGCTACACGTGCAGCCTCATTTAAACCTCCCTCCAGATGGTCAGTGATATTAACCATATTTTACAAGTAAGGAAACTGAGGCCCAGAGAGATTAATTCTCTTGTCCCAAACTATAGCATTCATGAGCTCTGTGATCTTGGGCAAGTAACCTGACCTTCTTTGTCTCTGTTTCTCCCTTTGGAAAATGGCTAAGACAACAGTACCTACAAGTAAGAGCTGTTATGAGGGAATTAGGGGCAGCAAATGCAAAGTGCTTAGTGCAGTGCCTGGCACACAGTAGGTACTCAGTGGGGTCAGCCACTGCCATGAAACCTTAGAAAGGAAACCTAATAGGTACAGACCCAAAGGCTCACCTCCGACCTGAAACTAAGGAAGGCTTGAACCCTGGCAAATGGGTCATAACACCCAAGGTGACTAAGAGTTTTCCTGCAGTTGTGGAACCTCATGGACAGTTGGTAGAAGATGTTAAAGTGTTTGCACACCAAGAGGCCTGGTGTCAAGGTTTACAGAATAGGAGACACATTGCTGGGGTTGGCAAGGAAGTGGAGCCACACGTAGTTTGGCCCCCTGTTAGAACTGCCTTTCCACCTCACATGCTTCTTCTGAAAGCAGAAGGGCTCCCTCACTGGCCAAAGTGCTGCCCAAACTGTATTATGAAGTAGGTCCCCACAGGGGGACCCCGAGACTGGAGCCAGGCCCGGATGCTGTCCCTGAGCAGCCAGGCTGAAGAGAGGGAACAGATGAAGACACCTCAGGGCTCCAGATGTGGCTCCCAGCTCCTCAGGACAAGCTGCTCTATAGAGAGCCATTCCCCAAGGCCTCAGCAACGATTCTCTCCCCTCTAGGAAGGAACGAACTCATCCCTGCTGAGATTCTATAAGAGCAGCCACTCCCCCAGGAGGGACTCTGCAACGTGGGCCTTTGGGGTGAAGCATCAGTAAGGCTGAAGGATGACAGGCCAGACACAGCATGAAAAGGGGTCTCAGATTCTACCAACTCACAAAATCTCCCTGGGAAACTCAGTCTTTGCCTCATCCTACCCACTCAAGACTCTACCCTGCTAGAATAGAAGAGAATTTAAAGCAGTAGCAGCACCCTAACTCCCACCCCACTCTCCTTGCAGGTGGAATTTTCAGGTGGGTTTCAGGACCTCATCTGCATACCTGATACCACTTTCCTTGTTGCATAGATGTCCTTCTGGTAAAGGTCTTCTCAACATTTTCCTCTGCACTTTCTCAGCTTCACACACAGGGCAGCCCATGTGCTAAAGTATATGCATGCACACGCGCATACAGACACATAGACACACTCGGCCACATAAGCCTATGGTGGTTCTAAGCTGAGGCTCAGTGGTCAGCCTATTGTCTTAATTAAAACTCATGCTGCCCACTTCACTAATTTCTGATCTTTGACAAGTAACTGAGTCTCCCTGTGCTATAGTTTTCTTTTGGAAAATAAGGACGGTAACAGTCTCTCCCTACCTTAGAGTCATTGTAGAGTAAAATGAGAAACAACAGATGAAGCATCTAGTGTAGTTCCTGGCACACAGTAGATGCTTAAAAGAGTCAGCTAAAGTTGGCCAGTTCAGGGGAATGAATTGAATGCATGTAGACACATGAAATTGCTTTACGTGTGCGCACAAACACACATCTGCTCCAAAGAGCTACGTCAGTTATAGCTAGATAGACCCTGGAGTACTACAGGTTTCTGAAACGATGACTGGAAATGCAAGAGTCATCCCTGGGGCTCCCACTTTAATGCTCACATCCTCTGCTTTTCCAAGAATGTGCATGTTCCTCACCTGCCTGCAAGCAAGACATGGCACTGGCTTGAAGTTACGTGTCAAGGGAGGCGCATATACTCCATGCATGAGCACAGGGCAGGGTCATAGGCCCAACATGGTGCCATAAGGAAGTGTGATGGGCATGGTCATGCTGTCCTCTGGCAGCCTGGAGGAAGGAAGCCTGTGGTTGATCAGGGCAATTCCATGGGGGATGTTGCACACCGTAGAGAGGCCTCAGGTTCTATCCAAAGGCTCTAAATTATTGGATGTAGAGTTCCAGTGGCCATTGTGGAGATAAGTAGTGGGCAGATGGGCAAATAGACAGGGTACTAGTGCCCAGCAGCAGTTCCCTGGAGTGCTAAGGCCTGAGCCAGGCTTGTCCTGCCAGGAACCACCCATCCTAAGCCTGCAGTGTTGGGAAGACAGCCAGCCCGTGGCAGGAGGGTGTAAAGCCTGGGAGACTAAGGACAAAGATGGCTGTCTGCCTCCTCTGGGCCACAGTGGGCAGCCCGGGGTTTTGAGCTAGACAGAACACGATGGTGCTTCATTCTCATTCTTGAGCTGCAGTAGCCCCAACTCAGTTGAAACCTGGGACTGGGATTTGATGTGCTAACTGCAGAAAAAGCCTGGCAGATTTGGCAGGGTGCCATCTCATGAAGAGGAGCAGACAACACTCAGCCAGTATTTCTAGCCCCTAACAGAGGTACCCAAGGCCGTGCATACCCAGAAGGCCCTGGGAGGCACTCTGCACAGCCACGCTCAGGTACCTGGTTGGCTGGATGGAGTCTTGCCTGCAATCTGCCGGTGTCTACAGGACCTGCTCTCACCTTCTCCCTGACCCCCCAGCCTGCACAGGCCTTCTCCCCCAGCACATGCCAGCTGTGCCCACCCTGCGGTACCAGCACTCCATTTGCTCACACCAGAGCTACCTATTAAGAGATCCCCCAAGGCCCCAGGAAACCAGGAAGTCACTCTGTGGGAGGCACCTGCATCTTCAAAGAAATGATTGGAGGCAGCAATGTTTAACCTGAAGGAGTGGCTTCCTAGTAGAAAGAGTAGCATCAAAGGTTTCCCAGCAGGTCACTGAGGAAATGGTCACTTCATAAATGTGTAAAGCAATACTCAACGGCAAGCCAGTTCCCAGCCTCCACATGTCTCAAATATAAAGCCGAGATAGGAACTGAGAGCAGATCTTTCCACTGAGCAGCCAGGCTGCAGTCAGCAAGGAGGTGTGCAGAAACAAAAAGGTTCCATGCAGTCAAGATGGTCCAACAGCCCAGCAGTCAGCTGCAGGCTGGGACACCTGCCTCCCACTCGTGTGCTGTGGGCATGATGCTCAGGCCTCACTGCTTCCTTGTCCTCGGCTTTCACCCAAGGCCACTGAGGGCAGCTGATGCTGCCACAGCCCATGAATTCAGCAGCCCTCCCTCCCCGTGTCTTGCAGCGGCTCTCCCTGCATTCCAGGCACGCAACCCATCCCAGATTTGCAGGGAAGGAGTAAACAAGCCAAGAGCCTCAACCTTTAGGAGGAGATGCTAGATTTAATGAACTCAGTTCCCATTGCAAGGCTGTGATTCCTCTTACCTTTAACATGAACCCACAGGCGGATTAAACTGAAATAAAACCTACCATTGGAGTTACATTCTCAGCTGATTGGAAACATGCATTCCCTCCCTGTGACCGGGCCGTGAGAAGGGAAGTTATTATCTTTTTTGAGTTTGTAAACTCTTTATGGCTGAGGTGGCTTTAATCCTGCTGGGGGAAAAATAATGCAGAATAAATTGCTCCCATTTACCTTTGTTTTCCAATCACATGCTCCAGTGGGAACAAAACATCCTAAGTAAGGGGCTGTGGAGAGCCAGGTGATCCTTGACAGAAAAGTTTAGTTATTTTCTTCTTGAAGCACGTGAGCTGAAAGGGCTTTAAAGCGTCACTTGGCAAGGGGGCTTGTCTCACAAAATGTGTGCTCCAGCACTGATGCCACCATCCCCTCACTTTTTGAGTTCCTCTGCTTTCTGTTTTCAGCAGACACCCAGGTCCACAATGCCTGCTTCTTAATGGGGCATTTGCAATGACCTTTCTAGCTCCAGACATTTAGCAACAACCAGGAAGGAGCCAGAGAAAAGGCAGATTTGAATCAAAATCAAATCAGTGTTGGGGGGTGGGTAGGGCTCTGGAGAAGCAGATTTCAGTTCTTTGTTATTTCTCTGATCTCTTCTGTTACCTAACAAACAGAATTCATGCAGAGGAGGTACCTGTAAAGCCACTGGGACAGCCCAGGCTCTGAGCCCAGTTTCCTAATCAACAGGGAAGGGCTGGCTGTCTGCCTCACTTTCCCCTAAAGAGGTAGAGTGGGAATCTTCACAATGAAACAGAGTTGAGGGCCGCTAGAGGGAGGGCTCGGCCGGCCAGACAGCCAGACCTGGGCTTTCCACAAGTGCTTCTCTGCAGGGTGAGGACATCGCGTCGGCACCCTTTCCCACCACCTGCTACAGATTGGTTGGGAACGGGAACCTCATTCAATGACCTTGTTGGGGGTATATCATTCAGGATCCAGTCATAAAAGCAAAAATTAAGTATTCCAAACATGTAATTCAGGGAATTGGGACACAAGAGGTGGAATTTCTGAGAAGTAAAATAGAAGACACAATTCAGAGATTATTACACTGTTACAGGTGGCTACAATCCCCAGGGGGGGATTGCAAGAGAGTTAGTGTGAGCAGAGCAAAATCGAGCCCTGTTTGGCACAGGGCTAGAATTGCTGTAAGGCCCTACTGCTGCTGGAAGGGCTTCCCTGGGGCCTGGACCCACAGAGGAGAGGCCACTGCAGCCATTGGCTGAGATGCTGGGAAAGAGGAACAAATACAGTAAGTTCCCCCCTTCCCTGCCCCCCATCTCCCACCAGTAACTCTAATTGGCTGAAGCCAGTCAGAAGCAGCTGGCAAGCAGAGACAGGTGGCCTTCAGGGCTTGGCTTCCCTGCAGACAGAGCAGAGGAGAGGAGAGGGGACTAGAATTGAGGATAAGCAAAGCCAATTAATATGTCCATGTCAATCAATGCTCCTCAGTCTCGTCTGGAGCCCTGCGGTGGCCACCAAATGGGGAGAGCATAAAGGAGCCACAGTATGGAGGATGACACTTCAAGGCTCCTGCAGATGATGGCCAAACACAGACTCTCCTCTCCTTACTCGGCTCTGCAGCCTCCAGCATCTGTAAGAAAGAAAAAAGGAGGGCAGAAAAGGACAAATGCAGCACAGAGAAAAGCCAGGTATGTCTGGCCTGGCCCGCACACATTTCCAGCAGGGCATGGGACGATCTGCTTCCAGCTCTCTCTCCTGCAAGATGCAGGGCATAGAGCAGAGCAGGTGTGCTCAGCGGCCAGTGTCCAAATCCCTGTTGGCCTCCACTCACTGACTGTGGAAACTCCCTTCATCACACAAGCCACCTTTTCTTCATCTACCAAGTGGAGGCAGTGCTAGGGCCCACCTCACCTCTGTGACGGCAGAAACGTACAGCACGGAAAGGAACTTAGCGAGCACCCTGCAAATGCTTGTTAATGTCAGCCGTGGACATTAGCCACCAGCCACCCCCAGACATGCTTTGCTCCGGAACACTCCCTGTTCCTCCCACAGAGGGAACCTGTCTCCCTTCTAGCTCCAAGCCTGTGCTGGAATACTCAGAAGGGATTTTAGGCAGTTATCCATGACCCAAATATTCTTTCATCAGTGGGACCCATGTTCTGAGTACTGACTACAGTTTTCAGATGCCAAGTTGCTGGATACCAGTTGGAAGCTAATAATCAGAGGGCTCTGTCCTCGTCCCCTGGGCCTGTGGTTGCTGTGTACACTCACACACATGCACACACAGTCACACACCCACACACATACAAACACACTCACACACACACACACACACGTATTCATCGCTGCTTCTGGGATCTGTCAAGTCCTGGGAAAGGGTTATTTAAAAAAATTAAAAAAAAAAAAAGAACCACATGATAATTATGAGCTGAGTGTTTCAATCTTCAATTCTCAGTTAAAGGAAGAAAAGATGCTCTTCCCTGAAAGCCTCAGCATGCTTTACAAACCAGAGCTAATGTTTTCACTTGGCTCAGGGGAAACCAAAGCAGAGGAGAGAGCCCATTACAGCAGTGCCAGAGGGGTTTCAGATGAGGCCAAATTGCTCTGATGAAGGAATGCCATCACCCGGGCCACATGTTCCCGGGGAGCCTGGAACATCCACACTTAATGGAGAAAGGGCTATACTGAAGGGAAGACACTGGACATGACGAGACTCTGAGAAAGTCCTCCCAAATCTCAGGGAGTCAGGGAGATGCAGGTAAATGTTTGCTTTACCAAGCTGCTCCCTGGTGCAGGAGCTCCGAGGGCAACATTTGCCAGCTTTTATGGTGTTGTTCCTCACACTGTGGTCAATTTAAAGACACTCATATACAGGCAACATTGCTGAGCGGCTGGCAAAAGGTGCCCACTGTGCTGTAGCATTTCCGAGCGCACAGACAATGATGAAAATAACTGCAGGAATATGGATGTGTTTACATGCTTAGGAGCAGAGAGTGTTGATTATTTACCCTGTGGTAAATATGACTTACTCAACTGCAGGTTCATATAACTTAATATCAATAACTTAATTAGGAATTTAATAATTCTTAATAAATGACTAAATACAATTTAATTATTACATTAAATTTAGCCATCTGACCATCAACTTTTATAAGACAGTATTAGTGCCAGCATACCACTGTTTGGAAAAAATCCAGGGCCTTTTATCTGTGCTACCTAGGGTGACAAAACAACCCATGTGAAAATGCCTCAGAAATGAAGATGGTACCCATACAGAAGTCCTGGAAAGGTAGAAGTGGCCAATCTAAGAAACTTGTACAATATTTTGCTATTTACAAGTGAATTTGTTTCTATTTATCCTGTTAGATACTGAAAATAATCTCATGAGGGGGTCACACTATCCATGTGATAGATGAGGAAATAAAAGATCAGAGGACAGAAGGGTGCCTGACCTGGTTCAGCTGGTAGTGACGGGAGCACACGACTTGCTCTCTGTCTTAGCACTTCTCCCTGACCCTCCATCCATGGGCTAGGTGAGGGGCAGCCCCTGGCCAGCTCTGCCCGAGCTCAGGCTAAAGAGCATCACTGAAGCTCACCGAACAGATGTCACCAGCCAGGACTCATAACTGGAGTGATTATGCCAGGGCCCTGGAATCAGGTCTCTGGTTTAAAATGTAGTCCAGCAGAGAATATTAGGCAAGAAGCCATGCTCATGTCTTTCCTGGGCTCTCTTTCAGTCTCTGTGTGGTGCTTAGAGGCCACATTCCTTCTCAGAAGACTGGCGATGACTTAGCCTTCTGTACTCAGCCCCATTTCTCTCCAGAACAAGATGTTGGTATCTCTGGCAAATTGATCCCACAGGCAGCATGGAGACTTTCAACTCAATTCTCTAAAGTACAGCTAAACCCCAAGTCTTCCTGGACACTGGGAAGGGGAAAAGGCCTGGTTGGCCACCCAGGCTGTGTGTGCAGCATTACCCAGCAGCCCCTCAGAGGGCTCCAGACAGGCAGCCACCCCTCCCCCAATCTGGAGCTGCCAGCATTGACTTCCAGGCAGGACCAGGACCCCCGCTTGAGGCTGGGATCCCAGACCCTAAACACATGTGGCTACAAAACCCTCCGGTGCAAAATGAGTCCCTCTCCCACTTTCCATCTTCTCCCAGGTCGGCTGCTATGCCTGGCTTGTGAGTAGGAGACACCCCGTTACCCAGGCCACACCCCCTCCATCCTTTGTCATAGCACATTTTCTGGCATGTCCGTTCAGTATGCTTGGCTCTTTTAAACATCACACTTTATGGCCTTTCGCAGTGTAATTTTGTTCCTGTCCTGCCATTCAATTTGAATTAAATATCAAACAGATGTGAGTCTTTTTTTTTTTTTTTTTTTGCTCTTTTTAAAGAAAAAGTTTAATATTAGGGAGCATGCCCTCCTATAAGATCAGGAAAGCGATTCAGAGGAATAAGCCCCTTCAAATTAAAAAAGAATCACGTTGGTTAGCATTAAGATGCTTTCAAGTGATACATTTCGAAGTGCTAAGGGAAGGTGTTTCCAGCAAGCCGTAAAGCAGCCAGGAGAAAGGAGGGAAGATATATGGCCCAAGGCTGGCGGGGAAATTGGAGCTCTGAAGGGGCAGCTCCACCTGGGAGGAAGCTCTGAGCTCAGAGATGAGGTTCCCAGATGATGCTGGGGGAGGCTGTCTTCCCTGAAGGACCAGCAGGGGCCCTGCACTTGCAGCCTGTGTGGTCAGGCTGGGACAGGGCATGGTCTTGGCACTGTCCTATCCTCAAGGCTTGTCCCATATTTCCTAACCAACTTTCCTGGGGTAATTTTGTCTGTCTGGACATACTAAGTGGTCAGCCACACTGTTCTTACTACAAAGTTCTTGGGTAGTGGGACCTTTAGGCTTTTATGGTTCATCAGAGAAGGCAGAGAAAATTGTGGCTCCTCTTCATATACAAGAACATATTTAAACCTGATCACAACCTCAGGGGCCCTTCGTTCCCTGACTGAGACACCCCTCATCTGCCTCACCCAGGACAGCAGAACATAAGCATTTCATCACCAAACTATTCAGTACACGGGACCCAGGCCTCTCACTCCCAGGACACAGGAACCTATGTTTGCTGAGCATCTGCCTGCAGCACATGAGCTGCAGTTGCTGGTCAGTCTCCAAACTCCCCTTGCTTCTTGGCAACAGGCATCCTTGGCGCTCAGTGTTATTGGACCATTTGTGGCTGTGAGCCAGGGCTTCTCCAGGGCCGACTCTGGCTAAAGTGTTTCCATGTGGTCCTTTGACTCCCAGCTCTGAAAGACAGCTCTCTCTCTACAGCCATGGCACAAATAGCATTTCCACATGGCATGACATGGGGCCAAGAGACCTCTGCTTCCAGCTGGTTCTGGACATTGTGGACACTGAGATGGTGTTCCACACACACCAGGTTTAACCCTGGGGATGATGTAAATACCAAGACACGCTGCTCCATAGGGAGCACTAGGTCCTACTGACAAGAAACAGAATCAACACTTCCTAGAACTGCACAGACAAAAGAGAAGTTTGAGTAGAGGGATATAAAGCACAGAAAAGCCTAGACTTTATAGTCAGACAACCAAAGTCTACTGGTATCTCTACTTGCCAGCTCTGTGACCCTGGGCAAAATATCAACCTCCACAACCCCAGTTTCTCCCGCACCTCATGGGGTGCCAGGAGGGTCCCGCACCTCATGGGGTGCCAGGGCAGAATGCATAGAAAGCACTCAGCACAATACTGGCCTGACATCAAAGGCCCAGTGTTTGGAAGTTCGTTCCGCCCTTTCCTCCACAGCAGTGACAAGTCCTCTATCTGAGGGGCTTACTGGGGCTGAGAGGTGGAGAGCTGGAGGATAGATCAGACCCTATCGCCTTCCAAGAAGTCAAACTGAAAACTGCAAGAGGAGCAGGAGACCCAAAGGGAGGGGTGCGACTTCCTGCATTGTAAACATGTCCCTGGAGAAGGAAGAGGTGAGAAGGGAAAGCGAAGAAAGTGGCAAAAATATCTGACAGTGGTTTCAGAGGAGGAATTGAAAGTTGTAAACCATCGCAACTGTCCTTTTGCATCCATGGCAGTTAGGTAAGACTGTACTGCAATCCCTTATGAGAATCTAGGGGTGATGCCAAGAAAGGGTGAGTCTGTAGGGGACTCAAGACCACACCCAGATTCTAGAAGAGCTCTGAGCTCAGACTGAGCTTCCTCTGGGAGGAGGAGGGGAAGATCTCACCTTCTTTGCTTTCCTGCCCATCAGGCAGGATCTTAGGCAAGGCAGCCAGCTCAGAGAGGTCTCAGTGTACGTTCCTTCATTTCCCAACCTGTAGAGCTCCACACCACAGTCATTCACTTGCTCTTCACCCAGAGCAAGAGGTTCTTTCTGAAGGGTTGTTCTGCACTCATAAGAGGATTGAAAACACTGCTCTCCCCGTGGAGCTAAAGTGTTCAGCTGAGAACGAGGTGCAGAAACAGAGGCCCAGGTCTCTCTCCAGCTACAGGAGCAGGAGGCCATGAGGGCCTGGGCTGCCAAGGGAGGCTGACTGACATCGGCTCAGCCTCAGGTCACCCCCAGCATGCCCAGGCTATGGACCAGGTGGAATCTCATGCCATGGCCACACTCACCCTGATAGCCCTCCTTCCATGTCCTCCAGGTGAACAGTGTCCTGGCTCAGGCTTTCCTTCGCTGTTGAGAGCACACGCTTCTGCGCTGGACTGATGTCACAGGGCTTCCTAGTGGAACCTGGATAACTAGACACACTCATCTCTAACTCTGCTCTTATTTTCATTTTTATCGGGTGCTGAAAGGTTGAATGACTTAAGTAGATTTAAATACACAATAATTATTCACGTCCTTGCCAGTCTTCCTTCACGGTCGGGGGTGGGCTACGCACTTTCCCATGGGTGTAATCCATACAGACAGACTTCTTTCCCATGCTGTTTCCTGGACATTTTACCTAGACGCATGCTTATCACGTTGCTCTTACAGGTTACACACGATGGCATCACAGCACAACTCAGTCTCTACCCAATTCACTGGTTACAATTTTGAGGGGCTGAATTTAAAATAATATTCCAAACTCTTCATAAAATAATATTTTTCTGGAGCAATCTCTTAGCAATGCCCAGATGAGAGTTACGTGAGGATTCTCTATATCCTTATCACAGATTGAGCACCTGATGTTTTACAGATGTAGCTGATAAATCTATGTGTGGACCCAGTAGTTTGTTGCTTTGATACCCATTTTATGGGTGGGAAAACTGAGGTGGGAAGTGTGGAGGGATCATCTGCCTAGAGGCACCCAGCATATCTTTGTGTGTGATCTATCAGGATGCCTCCTCTCCCCCAATACCCTGTTGGTATAATGGGAGCCCTTGAGTTTCTCTCTGCCCAGGTCAATGAATGACTAATGATGGAAATTTTCCTATGGCAGCACTGAGATATTATGAGACAGGAGGCTGCTGCTTTTGCTTCTGAACTTACCCTGCAGATGGCCATCTCAGTCCAGGGCCAAGTTGACCCTTCTCAACTCCTCCAGAGACCCCTGAAAGAGAAGGGAGGATGCTTTCTTGGGTCTCTAAGCCCTTTGGAAGATGTGAAAATGGGGGCAGGTCAGCCACATGAAGTGCTGGCTACAATGTGTAAACACACCTCAGGCTAAGGCTAATCTCCCAGGTCAGGCCCTGGTGCCACCAGCAGCCCACTCCAAGAATACAGGCTGCAGTGGCTTCAGCTAAGTGTGTTGTACAATGACGTAGTCAGTGGCAGATGATCACTGAGCTCTAGGGGCCAGGCACTGACCACTCGAAGGCACTCTTGTCTGCCCTGCGGCAGCCTCAGTGCCCTGTCCAGCCTTCCCCATATGTAAAGTAGCCACTGCCACCAGGCTGGAGGGGGCTCTGGGATCACACCGGCATCCCTGGCTCCCAGTCGTGCTCCAGGCAGAGGTGAGCAGGGCTAATCAGAAACACCTGTGTACATGGAATTTCCTGCCCCAGTTCAGCCTTCATTTCCTCTGCCAGTAAAAACCTGAGGCACGCAAAGGTGAAAGAAACCAGCCAGTCAATCACCCAGACGACGGCCACCAGGGCCGCAGAGACAGGACTTTCTAAATTAAATTTTAATTCCCACCCGATGGCCCGGCCGGCACAGTCATGATTCAAACTCTGCAATAGGTCACCATAGCCAGGCAGACCCCAACCCAGGACTTTGCAGGAATTAACCTCACCTCCTGGCCAGCGGATGATGGTGTCTGCCTCGGCCATCAGGTTGTAGAACAAGACCATAAGAATGAAAGGGACCCCCTTTCTCTTCGGCTTCATTGTGCAGCTGCCAGGGCTGCCGAGCTGATTAGCTGCTCACTACTTCAGGCTGTTTGAGTTATTAGGTGCTGGAGAGATCAGAGCCTGCCAGTGACTCAGGGACATTTAGCAAGACAACATCAAAGCTGGGGAGTGGCCAGGTCCAAACTGTAGAATAACGGTCAGGGCCTGAGGGTCTGGGCTCTGTCCTGGCCCAGCAGGTTTAGGTGAGGAGAGAGTCATAAAAATGCCTCCATTTTTTCCAGAACGTATTTCCAGAGTTTCCTGCAGGGTAGGGGAGGCAGGACTTGGAACGATAAGGAAGTAAAGAGCTTCCTAGTTCATGGTTTAACAAACTAAGAGAATGGTTTGCATAACCACGCAGCTGACAGCAAGTCCATCCTGAAGCCCGAGTCACCCCCACCCAATCTCAGCCTCAAGAGGCCATTTCAGGGCCTCTTGGATGCGAGAGTGAGGATCACTCAGTGTTAGACTTACAGCCCAGTTTGTGCCATGATGCACATTCTTTTCTGCCAGACTCCATCTTGCAGTCTGTAAGATGGAAAATAATGATAGCTCCTCCCTCATAAGGTTGTGATAAGGAACGTATGAACAAGGGTGTTTCATGCTGAGAAATGTAACAAACCAGAGGCCAAGTGAAACAATCTTAGAGAGAAAACTCCTGCTTCCCTGCCACTGATAAGTCAGTGACAGTTACCAAGAGGGCAGGAAGTGAAGACCTCCATTCGGGAGGACCCAGCCCCTTTCAGACACCTGAAACCCCACTTCCTGTTTAGGCTCCAGCACCCTCATAGTAAGACACATCTCCTCTGCATCCTGTCTGACTGGTCTCCTCACTGAGAGGCTCAAACCCAAACACATTCAGTGGTGACATTGGACGACCCCGGGGAGGAGGAGAACCAGCACCAACTCCCTAGTCCTGGGAACACAATTAGGTGAAAGAATCTGCAGGACAGTGGACCAGGTCAGAGGCTGTGGTCTGACTTGCTAGCAGGAATATAGGACACCCGTCAGGAAGTCAAAGTGTCCCAGGTCATTAAAAAGAATTTTTTTAGTAACTTTTGATTTTTAAAATGATTCATACTCACTGCACTACAAAACAAAGGCATAATCGCTTGGGTAGCTTTCACAAACAATTCTGAATGCAAAACAGTATGTACAAGGTTTAAAATGGATACATAGACTCTGCAGTTTGATCAGGAAATGGGTACTCCTTAGGGGTTGCAGAGACAGGAAGCTGATACTGAAGGGGGTTTGTGCACCAGTGACCTTGCTTCTTGAACTTGATGCTGGCCATGAGGTTGTGCACTTAGTGAAAACCCACTGAGCCATCCACTCAGGGTCCATACATTTTTCAGTATTCACATCACATTCAATACTAAGATGACCTTGAACAAACTGTCAGGTACATAGCAACAGTATGTATACACATAAATAAATATGAAATGCTCATCTTTATTGAGAAAATGTGTTTTTTAATGTAAAAAATTGAAAACATGTCACTTACTATATCAACCTGAGTTCGTTCTTTTAATGTTTTAGTATATTTTCTTCCCACTTTTTCCATACATGATGTGTGTTTAATAAATTTAATAATAGTTGTGTGTGTAAAATTACATTTAACTTCTTTCCTCAATGTTCTATGATGAGCATTTTTGCATACATTTTTAATGACAGCTGAAAACCACCCTGATGACTATCACATGCCACCAAACATGCTCATTATACTTTAACTAGTAATTTTTAACCAGAGTTAGTTTTGCCCCTTCCCCAGGGGGGCATCTTATCGCATCTGCTGGGAAGGCAGGGAGGAGGCTACTGAGACCTAGTAGTGAGAGGCTCTGGATAGTGTGTAGATCTTGTTCACTTCCATTTCCTGAAGGAGCCATCCGCACCTTGTCCTGGTTAGGGTCCAGTAAAAGTCAGTGACCCTCTTTCTTCTTCCTCTTGCCCTTCTAGAGACCAGCAGTGCTCACATTTGACCTTCCATGCTAGCCTCTTCTCTGAGCTTTTCCCTGGACGGGACATATTCAGACAGTTTTTGAAAATGGATAAAAAAAGACTCAAGGAAAAAAATGTAAACAGATCCCAAAATATACTTGAGCTGCCAGGCAACAAAAAGATACAGCATAAATCTCAAATATCAGCCCAGATGATGTTTTGTAATTGCCCGGGGTCATTTGCCTTCTTGTCTACTTAAATGCAAGGAAAGACTTATCAAAAGCAAAAACCAGAAAATTGCATCAATTTCTGGTGCAGGACAGTGAAAATGAGATTATGTCATTGTGATAGGACAAACTTGACCCAGGCATGGGACTATAAGGGAGAGAGAAGCTAGCATGGCTCTTTTTCTCTAGGATGTGGTTAAAGCCTAAAGCCACTTCCTGCCCCTGGCCTTTGCCAGCTCTAGAAGAGGAGCTTAGCTGCTAAATGAAGGCTGGGGAAAGATGCCAAACAGGGCTCAAAGGGCTGACCTCAAGAGGGTCAGATGTCACAGGAAGGCCCACATCTCGGGGCAGGGAGTTGGTCAAAGTGTTCGTACCAGTCCTTTGATTCCAAGGCAGCATGGATGAGCCCCATTCTGACTCATTTGAGGCTCAGCAAGTTCCTGGCCCCATGCACGGGTGGCTGACCTTCCCTTTTCACTGTGTAAAGTACGATAATGTTCTGCTTTCAGGACGAGCTCTGACGGCAGCAGCCATTGCTCTTTTGTCTTTCTTGTTTTGCAGAAGGAAACCAGTTGGCAGAGGCTGTAAACATCTGTATTTCTAAAGCAGGCCCATGGATTATCCTGTCAATGACACTGGATGCTTCTCCTGAAATGCACATTTCAACAAGCTTTTCAGGTTATACTTTTTATTGTGATAAAATAAATATAACCTAAACTATGCCATTTAAACAATTTTTAAACATCCAATTTAGGGTAATTACATTTACACTGTCGTGCAAGCATCCAAAATTATTTCCAAAATTCTTCATCACCTCAAATGGAAATACTATGCTAAGTAAGCAGTAACTCCCCCTTCTCACAGTGCCTAATAACTTCTAGCTTTCTATGAATTTACCATTCTAAGTGCTTCATGTAAATGGAATCATACAACATGTAGTCTTTTGGGTCTGTATTTTCTAAGGATTTTAAAGATTAATCCATGTTGTAGTGCATATCAGAAATGCATTTTTTCTTAAGCTCATTAATATTCCATTGTATGTCTATACCACATTTTGATAATCCCTTTATCTCTAAGGAGATTTACAGTCTTTCTACACTATGGCAATTATGAACAATGGTGCTAAAAATATTGGTATACAAGCACATGAAGTCATTGCAATTTTTCAAAAGCAAAAATGAAATTACTGGATTGTAGGTAACTCTATGTTTGACTTCTTAAGGACCCAACATACTATTTTCCTTAGCAACTATACTTAAAAGGCTTCAGGGTCCCAATTTCTCTACATTTTCATCAATACTTACTATTTTCCTCTCTTTTTTTCTTTATTTTAAAGAGAATAAAACCAAACAGAATAAAGTCAATCAAAACAAAACAATGAAAGTGATATAGGACTTCAAAACAGGATAATAGAAAAGCAACTGATGCTACCTTAATGCCTCTTGTTATCTTCAAAGTAGCTGCCCCTACCACCAGACATAATAAAATCAAACAAAACAGAACAGAGTAAAGCCAGTTAAAACAAAATATTGGATAAGACAAAACAATAAAGTGGAGCAAGACAAAGCAGTGAGAATGATAATGGATTTCAAAAACAAGACAGAAGAAAATCCCCCATTGGGATTTTGCATATTGCCTATTATTATCCTCTAAATAGATGCTCAGACTATAAACTTTAGGCCTCCAAAGTCAATCAAACAATATAAGCATTAGGTTATTTTTGTATCTCAATTGCTATCAACTCAGTTTGTGTTCCTTCAAATCAGCCAATTGATTGGGAGAGAGGGCTCAGCTCTTCTTGTCTCCCAGCCCACACACTGGCTGGCTCATACGAAGGGTGCTTCCTGTTTCTCCTCCTGCCCCATAGTTACTGCTGAATCATGGAATGGGCCTATCTTTTTTCTCCTCCTGGTCCACAGTTACTGCTGGCTATTTTCCTTTTTAAAACATTATACAAGGGGGCTGGGGATTTAGCTCAGCAGCATAAGCATCTTCCTTGCAAGCAGGCAGTCGTGAGTTCGATCCCCAGTACCGATAAAAAAAAAAAAACATTATATACATACTAGTTGGTGTATAGTGGTATATCATGGTCTTCTCCAGATAATTCTCATACTAACATGGGATAATTCTGCTGTATGTTAGAGAGACAGAACATTCACTAGGTAGAGATAGAGGCTCAGGGTAAAGGAAAGGAAATTTATAGTGTGCGCTGATAAAATCCAACCTGTCTTTATCAACTCCTACCACCACCACTTTCCAACCTCTAGAAATCACCATTTTACTTTCAGGTTGGCTTTTTTTTTTTAAAAACCTTCTTTATATAAGAAAGAACCTGCACTATTTAGTACTTATCTTCATGTGTTTGGCTTATGTCACTCGACATAATGTCATCTAGTTCCATCAGTTTGCTGAAAATGATAGGACTTCATTCTTCTTAATGGCTAAATAATAGTCCATTGTATATATTTACATTTTCTTTATCTATTCTTCTGTTGATGAACACCTAAATGGGCTCCACAGCTATTGTAAATAGTGCCATAATAAATATGGATGTGCAGTTGTCGCCTTCGTATACTACCGCCTTTTCCTTTTGATATGTAATAGCCAGAAATGAGATAGCTGATCATACAATGGATCTGATTTTTGCTTTTTTGAGGAACTTCTAAATGGTTCTCTGTAATGGCTATACTAATTTACCTTCCTACCAAGGTTCCTTGTGCTGGTCATGGCAGCACATACTATAATCTCAATTATAGGAGCCTCTATAGGAAGATCATAAACTGAAGATCATTCTGGGCGATTTAGTGAGATTCTATCTCAAATTAAAGATGAAAAGGACTGGGAATGTGACAGCACTAGAAGGCACCTGGGTTTAACCTCAACTACTGAAAAAAGAATCTCTTTTTTTTTCCCACATCCTTGCCAGCATTTGTTATTGTTGTTTTTTGATAATAGATATTTTAATGGGAGTGAAATGATGTTTATTATTGCATTTCTCTGATAACTAATAGTAGCAGTTTTTATACATTCAAGGGTCATTTGTAGGTTTTCTTTTGAAATGTCTATGCAGATGATTTGCTTATTCTTGGTGTACTCTTAGTATTAATCTTTTGTCAGAAAATATTTTCTCTCATTCTGCAGGTTGAATCTTCACTATGTTGC